TAGTAGCAGCAGCAGCAGCAGTAGCAGTAGCAGTAGCAGTAGCAGTAGCAGTAGCAGTAGCAGCAGCGGTAGGGGTAGCGGTAGCGGTAGCGGTAGCGGTAGCGGTAGCGGTAGCGGTAGCGGTAGCCGTAGCGGTAGCGGTAGCAGTAGCAGTAGCAGTAGCAGTAGCAGTAGTAGTAGTAGTAGTAGTAGTAGTAGTAGTAGTAATAGTCGTCGTAGTGATGCAACTACCATCATCATTATTAGTTGCTTGAATTACTGTAATTCTGTCCTCGTTACAGTACTGTGTTTGCGTCGGTTGTCACAGATATGTCCCAGCCACTCAGTAGAGTATTGAAGAGGTGCCGCGCATTCCAGCAGATCACGTCCTCCATCAGAACTGAGCCCCGACAAAATCCAGCCTAAGCTCCGAACCCAAAAGGGCAAACCACCGAAAAATCCAAAAGCCTCTGAAAATCTTCATTTAGCTTGAGAAACACTGAGCCAGAACTGGCGAGAAAAAAAGCGCAATAAGGCTGAAGACGGCTTTGAGGTGGAGGGATTACTATTTTGGGGTGTCGTGTTCTGGGGTAAGGGTCAAGGGTTTGGGGCTGTGGGGTTTAGGGTTGGGGTGTTGCTGTTGTTGCTTTTTGTTTGGTTGTGAAGACGTCTATCGACTATACAGGCTCGAGAGGGATAACTTCAGCCAAAAATACTGATTAATAGACCTTGGTTTCCTGGTTCTACAGGCCCGTATATAAGGATTGCTATACAAATCCCTTGTAAGGATGGGCTGTTTCACTGACGGTCTAGATTATGGACTTAGGAGCCTGCTGCAAGAAGTGTATCTTCCTTTGGGGACGTGGCCGACAACAGGCGATCCTACCTGTCTCAGAGCCCCGCGGTATCATAATAAGGCAGACCATGCTTCAAACCCCGAAGGCTGCGACATAGTCTGTACCAATCCACTGGGGCTTGGATTAGTGTGTTCAGGTTGCGGGTTGAGGGGCGCCACCATCCGAAGTGTCAGTGGTCTAGGGTTTGGGGTGGATGGCATGAGCCCTGAACCCTGAACGCCTGTGTAGACCAGCAACCCTAAGCCCTAAATCCTAAACCTCCTGAGCCTCACTAAACTTTACCCTAATCCCCTAAACTGCCGCGGCCAATTCCGTCATCGTTCTGACCAGCAGAAGCATTTCTGATCACCGATCGCCGTCGTGTGAAGTCGTGAGATTGCCACTCGCCGTACAGGGTATTCACCTGCACAAAACTTTATGCAGATTGCCTTGGCGACCACTGCGATCAACATAATGAATCGTGGCCTGTTCACACGGGGATGCCCACCACCTGCTTTAACGCAAGATTCCCGTTCTCCCTAATGGGAGTCCGGCTGTCCCTTGACTTCTGAATTTTCTCAGACCCGCTGAATGCTGCAAACCTACTGCTCTACGGGTTGCTTATAAGCATGTTGCTGTTGCCTTAAACCTGTCAAGAATACAAAAGTTAGGGTCTAGGGCCAGTTTAAGGTCAAGGGATTTTCTTTTCAGGGGCTGATTGGACCCAGAGATCCAGCATCCTGAGGCATGGGTTCCTTACTAAGGATCGCAAAATTTGAGGAATATTCGTTACTGAAAAAGACTCCTTTTCAAGGATCTTTTGTGCGATGTCAGGAAGACGGCTTATCTCAAGGATCGAGGAGTCTGTGGAGACCCTGCGGAACCTCTTCAGCCTACAGCCCTAAAGCCCTAAAGCCGAAAAGAGCCCTGGGCCCTAGAACTTAAACCCCAGCCCATAATGTACCGCATCCCTGCTATACATTCTCTTCTAGACCTTAAAGCCTCCATAAAGCCGATACTACCAAAGTAAGACAGGACTACGAACCGCACAATTTAGAAAGGACCCTTCACCGCGAACCCCTTCCCGTCCTGCTGCTGCACGGAAAAGGCCACCTGAACTGCCTGGTTGAAAGTCTGCCTTGGCCTCGGAAACTCAGCCAGGATAGGGCTCCCTGCCAAGGGCTCTTTGAAGGAGCTCTTCTCAGGGATCTAGAAGGCGGGTCGAAGGGCCTGTAGGAAAGAGTTTTGGGCAGATTATACTACAATAAATCAAGACTATCAATATACTCTAAGTATAAAGAGACTATAAAAGATGTGTGATTTGGAAGCCCACTTCTTGGGCACCTTTATACCCCAGAGCTCCTTCCTCGGGGTTCAGCACGTCGCGTCTCAGGGCGTCGCAGCTCGGGGCTGAAACTTTAGGGCTTTGGGGCTTAGTGATTTGGGGTTTAGGGTTTGAGGTTTAGGGTTTAGGGTTTAGGGTTTAGCAATTTAGGGTTCAGAGCTTCGGGTTTAGGGTTTAGGGCTTTAGGGCTTAGGGGTTCGGGGCTTTGGTGTGTTGGGGCTTAGGGGTTTAGGAGTTCAAAGACGTAGGGGTTTATTCCGAGGAAGCTGTGCACTACTCTCCACCCCGAGACCGCGGAACTCATAAAACCCAAATGGGAGTTTCCGAAAATAGGGGACCCTAATATAGTACCTCAAATAGTAGGACCCTTATTATAAGGACCCCAAAATAAGGTACCCTAATTTTTGGAAACTCCCAAATCGACAAACACCTAAACTCTTGTGCCCTGCCTGAATCTGCCTGAATGCCTCAGCCCGAAACCCTAGAAAGCCTGCGCCAAACTCTAAACCTCTACATCCCGAAGCGGCATAAAGTCCTGCGCCCCCAAAATCAAAAATCTTCCGCAAACCTGAACTGTCCCTGGACCCTAAAGCTCTAAACCCTACACCCGGAATCCTGCATGGGAGTTTCCGAAAATTGTGGGTACCTTATTTTGGGGGTCCTTATAATAAGGAACCTATTATTTGGGGTACTATAATAGGGTCCCTTACTTTCGGAAACCCCCACATCTGAAGACTGAGCTTAGGGACAAGTTTACCAGGCTGCTATACGAAAGCTCTTTGCTTTTAATCCTTGGCACACAGACCAGCTTGGGGGAACAGTGCGTTATAGTATAATTAACAAGGAACCCCAAAATAATGTAGGTAATGCAAAAATAAGTAAGGCTGGGGGTGGGAAGAGTTCGAAAGAGTCTTCCGTGCTCTGTCTTGGAGGTTGTATAGAAAAAGCCCAAAAACCTCGGCCTAATCGCTGAGGCCTCTAGATGAATTGTCCTCCGCTTTGCTCGGGGTTGAGTATCTGAACACCTTTGTCACAGTTCAGGGGCGGCTAGGGCTAGGGTAGAGGAGTTTCAGGGCTTCTCCTTAAGCCCGAGTCTCAAAGTAGAAAAAGCCTAAGATCGAAAGCACAAACATGAGCAAAAACAAACTAAACTTAAACAAGCAGCAAACTAACCCCACCCTTGAACAAAAAAACGATGCAACAAAAACAAATGAAAACAAAAACACCTGCAGGCTCGTGTGCACATGTGCACACACGCAAGCACAAACAAGCACAAAACAATGAGAAGAAGACCACGCAGGGGCTCTGGCCCGCCATCTGCGGGGCTCCAGGCTGCAAGGGAGGTCAAGCTGAGGACCTCGCAAGCTCCGAAAGAAAAAGACAAAACAAAGGGCTTCGGGGTTTGGGGTTCAGGGGTATTTTCAGTTTCTTACGGTGTTACAAAGGCTTCTTGAGGGTTTTAGGGCTAAGGGTGGAGTTCTATTCAGAGGCCCAAGGGTGGGGCTACTAGTATCCTGAGTGGGGATTGGTTGGGATATTGCTACCCCTACCAACCTACGTACTAAGTCCCCTGGGCCTCCCGGAAAAAGGTCATGGTCTAAGGTTCAGGGACGCTAGGGGCTTTGCAGGGCCTTCACAGCGTCCTGTGGGCCGAAGTTCCCGCAGGTGTTGGCATGAAGTGGGTCTCTACTACTCATAGGAGTATATGGGAACTGTACGGCGGCATGCTGAATACATGTTCTCACCTCTGCAGTACGTAACCGTACGCCTTACGATGCATGAGAACTTAAGCCATAATAAAAGCAAGATGAAACCCGAAGAAGAGCCATGGCGTGAGCCCTGCAGAATCAAGCCAAAACGCAAATCCCGCATTACATACCCTGACCCTGAACCCCGCTCCCTGAACCCTCGACGCATGTAAGTCCGCCGTCAAACCCCAAAAGGCTCGATAACTTCGTTTATACTTCAACAACCCTTACAAAAGAATAACCTGCAAAGCCTCTGCAGTAAAGCCTCTAGTTCAAAACCAAATTTTCAACTAGCACAGGCTCTATCCAAAGCCCTCATTCAGCAAAGAATGGGAGCTCTGGGTGGCAGACCAGGTAAAGCAAACTCGCCTCCACCAGAACCGGCCAAGCCCTTGCAGCAACGTTATTACTTGGGGTTTCCTTCTGGCCGCCCGTAACCCTAACCCCTAAACCCCTAAACCCCTAAACCCTAAACCGTATGGCTTCGTAGAGTTGCTTCAGGGAAGCTGCAAGTTCTTTTTACTTCGGGTTCTAGACGGTTTTTATCGGCTTCTGATGCAGGGTTTATTGCGTGGGTGGTAAGGGCTTTGGGTTTAGGATGGTAGACTGGTTTTCTGAGGATTAGGTTGTAGGGTCGGTCGGGGCTTGGTAGTCAGTATCACGGCACTAGATCACAACCCTAAAGAAGGTACTACGACTACGACAACAGCCACCACCGCCAACACCACCACTACCCCTATGCCCTATACCCCTACCCCTGACGCGATCACTACCAATGCCACTACCAATACCACTACCACCACGACCACCAGCACCACCACGACTACTACAACTCGACGACGACTGCTACTCCTGCTACTGCTGCTGCTACTGCTGCCTCTGCCTCCGCCTTCCCCTCGGCCTCTACCCCTACTGCTACTACTTCTTCCTCTTTGAATTCTGCGAGTACGAATACTGATGCCAATACGAAGACGAAGACATTACGAATACTCTAATATTGCTACTAATACGAATACTACTGATGAAACCAAAACTATTACGAATGCTGCTACTGATACTGGTACTGACACTCATACTAATACGAATGCCAATCACAGTACGAATACTAATACAAATATGAATACTAGTACTACTGTAGTACTGAAACCAATATTTATCATACTCATAATAACAACAAGCAGAAGAATTCTAATGCGAATACAAAAATTCATACAATACGAATACTAATGCTGGTGCTACTTCCAAAACTAATACTATTGCTTACACGAACGCCAAGCCTGGTACTATAGTACCAAAACCAGTACGAATGCTAATACCACTGAGTAGTACTGCACTGGACACTGAAAGAAAGCGGAAGCAACAAGCTGGGAGACTCATCCACAATACCAAGGCGTGCATCCTACGAGTAGTGAGGAGTCACCAAACAGTCGGACGAAAATCAAGTAAGACAACCAGCCTAGCCTCAACTTCGTGTCGACCCCGTAAAACCCGTACAAAAACGACACAACAGTCTATTAATGAGGCCTTATCAACACAAACTCGTAAACTTTAACCCGCAAAACCTCTAAACCGAACACCCCCGAGCTGGCCTCATGTCTGAGAGGACACTGTCGACGACAACTGCAGCAACGACGAGACTCGTCGAAAGGCTGAGAGTCACCTGAAGGCATCGCATCTCGGATGTTAACGAAGTCGTTTACAAACAGAAATCCTACAAACCCCAAACCCTGAGCGCGAAACCCTAACACCTGCAACCCTGAACCCTAAAACCCTATACCATGACTTGGGGCTTAGGGTTCAAGGCGGCAGGCTGAGGGGTTCGAGAAGATGGGTCGTGCTTACGCCGCAGTGGAATACGTGAGAAACCCTAAACCGGCTAGAATTCCCAAACCCAAAGTAGCTAATGGCCACATTAACAATTGCTCCTATGGTACCAACAAACCAGTACTTTTGGACACGCAATATTTGTCGCGATCTTGGTAGTGGCGCTGGTGGTGCTGGTGGTGCTGGTGGTGCTGGTGGTGCTGGTGCGAAGTACTAGACTGACACTCTGAGTACGGCTGGGGCATTGCTATGTCAAATAGAGAGTAAGATTCTTCGGGGGAAACGTACAACATGTGTTCTTATAAAGGGACACTACTACTTTTTGTTCAGACCTCCCAGCCTCACCCCAAACCCTAAATCAAAAGCTGCACTTCCAAACCTATGCTGAACCCGAAAACCAAAGCCCTGAGAGCCAAGAACCCTCGTGAACGGGCATGAGCCTTTGCACCTTAATTGGGGTTGTAAGTAGTTACTGTCGCTGTTGTCAGGCAAACAGGAAGTCAGCTTTCAAGTATGGCTTCTTGGCACCCCGAAGTCTCTCAAGCGCGCTCAAAACCAGGCTCTGAATGATTAGCCTCTTGTCCCCCTAAAAAAACGTCATATGATCATGCCAACCGTCCAAAACCGGTTGAAAACCCGCATGAAGCCCTATAAACCCCGACGAAACCCTATAGAAAACCCAAAGGAACCCTTGTGTAACCGTTTGAAGCCGACAGCCCGCCAGACTGAGCCAAAAGGCGGCTTTCACCAGGAGCCCGGTTGGGAACAGAAGGGCAGTCACTATATGGAGGGTCGCCACCTGCAGAGAGGGTTTAGGGTTTAGGGTTTTGGGTTTAGGGTTCACTTTCCGTTTCCAAGGGTCTTATGGGTTCTGTAAGGCGTTCGGAGGCTTCTTACCGGGCTTCACACATGTCTTTATGGGCTTTTTGTTACATGGGCGTCACAGCTTTTTCCCGCTCCTGCTCCTGCTCCTGCTCTTCTGCTCCTGCTCCTGCTCCTGCTCCTGCTCCTGCTCCTGCTCCTGCTCCTGCCCCTGCCCCTGCCCCTGCTCCTGCCCCTGCCGGCCGTGCCCTGCCCATTCTGCTGCACCCATGCCCCTGCCCCGCCCCCTGCCCCTGCTGCCGCTGCTGCTGCCACTGCTGCTGCCACTGCCAAACATCTGACTCAAACAACCTAGTTTCACTCACCTATGTACCTTCCTGTCTGCCTGCCCAGTTGACTACCTACCTACACACGAACAGTTGTCTAAAGACTCAGTAAGAGTAGAAGAAGAAACACTGCACTCAGCCTTCAGCAGATCGTATTGAAGGCTGTCGGGCACTGACCACAGCACATGCCGCAGGACGCCTCAGCAAGCGGGGGCCGTGAGGGATTTCAGGTTTAGGCTTCGGCCATTGTCCCTTTATCTCAAACAAGCCCAACGGCCAAATCCTACACCCAAAACGCTGAATCCTGAACACAACCCCTGGAGATCCTGTAACTCAACACCCTCAACATGTGCATGGCTTCAAGGGCTTCAGGTTTGAAATGTGGATCGGGCTCCAAAGCTCCAGTTAAGGGAGTGGCACTTAAAGCTTGGGATCTAAAGCTTGAGTCTTGACTTGAGCATTTTGGGCTGCTTAAGGCTGCAGGTTCAAGGCTCATGGCCAGGCTTTCGGGTTGATGAACCAGGGTCAGGCATCGGATTCGCGGCTTACAGGTCTAGGGCGCAGGGACTGCAATGGAGCTTAAAGGAGTTGGGATCAAGCTCTAGGAGTTGAAATTGAGTCTGCGCCCGCCAATGCTAAACCCGTATGTTCCAGAACTCCCTTTTGGTCATAGATGCTCATCGGGACCTGCATGCAGGTTTTGTTAGCAGCTACTTTAATGGCTAGCTCGCCCCATGGACATGATCTCGTTGATCTTCAGGTCGATGAACTCTTCAATGTCACGTCGGACAGGAGGAGAAGCGTAGTTGCCTATAGCTCTGTTCACGAAACACCTGGTGCTCCGAGAGATATTGCTAACCGACTTAAAGGCGGTGTGCCTGGACATGCAACACCACTGCCGGCCCGCTTCAGCATGCACTGTCAGACACCTTTGGTGTCTGGGGTTTACCGTCCACGCAAGCTCTAAGCCCCAAATCCCTAAACCCAAACCCGAAGCCCCTACATGAACCGAATAACCTTGAATAGAAAACACAACGAAAACTTAACACTCAAGGCCCGGAGCTTAAGGACTTAGGGTTTCAGAGGTTTGGGGGTTTAGGTGTTGGTTACGTGGAGGGGGTAGGATTTAGGAATTGGGGTTGTTTCCGGCTTAGCATTTCGGGTTGCGTGTCTAGGTAAGGCTTTCTGCTTGTATACCCCCTACGTCTTCCTGCAATAACCTCAACAACGATCCTAGTTCTTTGAGGGCCTAAGGAAGGCTGCATGAAGGCATCTATATATATATATAACACAACAACCACCAGATCACAAAAACACACACCTGACATTTTTGGAAACTTCAATCCCTAAACCTCTACCACCCTCATGCCCTAAACGCTATATACCCTGAAGCCCCTACCACCCTCATGCCTTAAACTCTATAAACCCTGAAGTCCCTACCACCCTCATGCCCTAAACTCTATATACCCTGAAGTCCCTACCACCCTCATGCCTTAAACTCTATAAACCCTGAAGTCCCAGACTGCAAACCTAGAGCACCAAAGCTTTCAACCCCACACAGTGAACCTTAGCCTTATTGGGGGTTAGGGTTTAGGGTTTAGGGTTTAGGGTTTAGGGTTCAGGGTTTAGAGTTTTAGGGTTTAGGGCTTTGGGTTTAGACACCCGCCCCCGACCCCGTTGCAGCGCCTGAGATGCAGGGCAAAACATTGGTGGCGGCGAGAAGCACCTGCGGCCGAACATCGGACACCCCGAAACCAAAAAAGCATCCAATCTGGTTTCCTACTGGTAGGATAGGATTCCATCTGCTTCGGACCTAGTCACCTCGTCCCTGCTTCTTGTGCGTAAGATAGGGATCGCTGGTAAGGAGCTCTTCGTTGCGCAATTTTCGAGGACCCTCGAAGCTTCTCTGGTTATAGAGCTTATGGACTACGAGTTTAGACTTTGGGGTGGATTTGTCTTATGGCATGGAAGGGGCATTGCACAGCCGACACGCTGCAGAACAACTTTTGGGATTTAGGTTCCGGGCTTGGTTTGTTGAGCGGGGGAGGTTCTGGTTCCAGGGTTTGGGGCTGGGCACAATCATCCCAGGAAACCCTGAAGAAAAACCAAAGTCTTCAAAACAGGCAATATGACCTGAAATGGACTTGAGTATCAGATTGCATCTGCAGCCCAATACCCTGACCCTGCTAGACCCTCGATTTAGGGCTCTTGAAGTGTTTAAGGCTTTCCGGTGTTTTTGTGCGAGTTTATCGTCCCTGTTGGGGTCGCAGGCTTGAGGAACTTGAAGGACTTCGGCTAAGTTTAGATGAGGGCACTGGAGGAGTTTGCCAGATCCGGCGTCGCCGCAGGCCCGCAAGCACCCAAATCAAGGGAAGGCCTCAGGTACGAGAATGAGCTCGTTTGAAAGTATTTTCCCCTCTTGGGCCCGAAATCCTGAACCTTACATGCTCAACCCTCAGCTGGAGGAATACTGCCGTAGGGCCTTGCGTCTCGGATTCCAGCATCCTAATACAGCGACGTGCTTCTTTAAGCCCCTATTCTAAGCAGGATCGTGAATGTAAGGACTCGAATGGGGGATCCAAAATTAGGAAACCCTCGATGGGTCTCCCTCCTCACGTCCCTTTTGTCGCTCTTTACTAGCTGTCTGTGGAATTCTTGCTCTCCTTCTCCGATTCTCCGTCCTGCTCCTCGCCATTCGTGCTCCTTGTTGTCTCATTCCTTTTTCTCATCTGTCCTTCTCCTTTCTATCTTTCTCGCCTTGCTGTCCGTTTTCGCGTCCACGGTTGACCTGCCCAAGCCTTAACACCAAATGCCAAATTCTCGGAGGACAGAAATCTGCAAGGCCATCACAAAAGCCGGACCATTCTGATGCTTTGATATATGCGACAAACTTGGCTCTCCGTCTCTGGATCTGATCTGCATTCCTGCTTTGCTTTGCCCGTGGCTCTCAGCTCTGTTGGTATTGAACATCTCCATCTGCGAATCTACACAGTCTCTTCCTCGAACGAGCATTGACTGTTGCTCAAAGAAAAACCAATGCACATGCCACTGCTCTGGCTCATGAGACTAGCTGACCCGATCTCAAACCTGCATGCCCTTCGTGTCTTGCAGCCAAAGCTGCAGGCTGCTATCAGGTAAGCTGCGTAGAAGGCAGCGTGACCCTTTCAAGAGCAGTGTCTGGGGTTCACGGCTTACAGATCTTAGGTAGCGCAGTGTCAACACGGAAGGAACTGCTGCACGTAACATGTACGGAAATACTCGGCGCATCATCCTTCTCCTTCTCCTTCTCCTTCTCTTTCTCCTTCTCCTTCTCCTTCTCCTTGACTTCCTACTAGCTCAAGGGGAAGAGCAAGATGTTATACATTTCTCAGAAGACTGCGGTAGGAAGATAACACTAAGAACGAAAGAAACAACAGCCGCAGACGATATTGGTACAGTTGTGATCGTACCTGGTAATGGCAGTCGCGACAGCGACAGGAATGTGAAGAATACTACCATTCTCACAATGGAAAATTTTGATAAGAAATTACACACTCTACAAGACGTCATCTCGCATCTCCGAACTTAGGCTTCAAGGATTTAAGGTTTAAGCGAGAATGTTCAGAGGGCCAACATTGCACGGCCTGGAGGTAACCGTCTTGGTTCTCCGGCAGCTGGAACAGCTCTGCTGCAGCCACGCTGATGAGAGCAACTGCGAGGTTGGGAGCTGCGTGGGCTTGCAGGCTTCGGGATAAAGCTGCCTACGCCACAATTTGAGATTTTTAGTAAATGCTTGAAAGGGTGCAACAGGTAAAACTATTTTGCCAAGGTTCCCAAACCTGGCTGTGTGTCTTTAGAACCCTTGTGCATGATGTGGAAGCAGCATGAAAGAGAAGTGCTGAGGATCTCGGCATATTGAGAAGAGTAGGTGAGGGTCTAGGGTTCAAGCTAACGGCAAACAGTAATCGAAGTCGTATCATTGACAAAAGTAACAAAGCAGCAGGCAAGCCTACACGATGAGAAAAAGCCTGCAAAAAGGCTGGTTGAGGAGGCTTCGGATGTTCAGGCCTTTGGCTTCCATCAGAACAGAAGTAACTTGATTTAGTATGAGTAGTAGTTGCAATCACGGTCCTCAGTAGAAGTAGTAGCAGTAGTAGTAGTAGGAGGAGGAGGAGGAAGAGGAGGAGGAGGAGGAGGGGTCTCCGGAGTAGTAGTACATATGTATTTTACTAGTATTGCAATGTTCTTTGACGCAAGATTTCATACAAATTGCTCAAACCTCAAGAGTCGAGAACCCACCTGGTGGCCGATCCCTGAAAGTTTAAACCCTAAAATAGCCTCAACCTTAGACTGCATCCCAAATCCTGAAGACAAAACCCTAACTTGAAAATCCAAGCTCGAAGCCTTAAACCTAACAGCCGTGTAACCCTGCTTCCCAACCTGCATAGACCAACGCTGCAGGCCCCGGCCTAGCGGCGGAGGTTTACCAAGAGAGCCCAAATACCCCTTCACTGTCAATGAATCTGATTGCACATTAAGGTTTTATTTAGTCTAAGGATTCAAGCTGAAGGTTTGGAGTCCCAGCTTATGATGGTAATCAAGACTATGATTTAATCCAAATAGAACGTCTCATTCTGATGACAGAAATGCTCCATAGACAAGATGCCTTGGGCTCTCTGGGAGCCGTAAACCCTGCATGTAACCCTGCCGCTACAGCCCTTGTAAAACTGCATACGACCCCCAGGAAGACCCTTAAGACCCTTGTGGCGTAGGGCTCAGGATTTCCCAAGTTAAGGCTTTCCCTTGTCGAGGGCTGACGACCGAGGGCGCGAGGCTTCTCCAGAGAAGTCTGCAAGACGAGCCGAGGGCTGAAGCCGTAGGGGCGCATCATCTTCCGAAGCCAACATCGAAGCCCGGTTTAGGGTTTAGGGTT